TTCCCAGATCAGAGATCCTCTAATTCACAGCACATTGTTTTCTATTTAGTGTGGACTCAAAACTCGGCTGCCAACACAGAATTCCCTTGCATCGGTACAGACCAATGTGCTGTGTGGACTTCAGTGCTGTGATCCAGCTGGGCTCGGGTGGCCCCATCTCCCTATCTCCTGCCCTGCCAGTGCTTCCCTGGGTCTCTGTGGAAGGAAGGAAGAAGAAGAAAAGAGCAATCTTCCCTTTGTTCAAAAGACTTTTGTCACTCTCTTTAGAGCACATAAAATGTAGGAGAGGGAACAGTGATTTGGCGCTGGGAGACCTGGGTTGAAACTAGCAACTGCCGCTGACCATCCAGGAGACTGTAAAGGAGCCTCCTCTCTCTGAGACTCGGTTTCCCCCTTGGAAACCAAGGGCCGAATCTGCCCTGTGTGCAGCATTCAAGTGAGACGGAGGATCGAAATAAAAATGACATCATAAACGTGAAAAAACCTGTGAACTTTGAGATCCCACGCACCTGAAAAAGATGAGAGATAATCATCCTAATGGGGACTGTCTCGTCACATGATGTCCATTTTCTGTGCCCTCTTCTTTTCTCTCCTGGCCCCAGTACTCTTAAGTCTCTCCGGCCACTCTGGGATTTGATGACCTTACCTATGGGTGGTGGAGCATGAATTCATGCAGGATTCACAGACTGACAGCTGCCCCCGAGGAACAAATTTTAAGTTAGGAGTAGACGGGAGGAAGGTGAGACTGCCTGAATGTGGAAGGCAGACTTGAAGCTGCTGCACGCCAGTTCAAGGCTGAGATTAAAAACGGTGTCCTTGAGCCACACACCCCCTCTCACCACACTTAATTCTGAAACACACTTCAGTCACATGCTTTTCTGCAGCCTGAACAATAAAATCACACTGTTCGTGCACAAAGAGTTTTCACATCTAAGAAACAGGCCCATTGTACATTTTTATTCACTTTTATCCACATTTTTCCATAAAATCTATTTGTATGTAGGAAATGCCCACTCTTCAGACTGTTTCACTGAGCGATCTTTAAGCAATGGTCAATCCTATTTGTGTTACATTTACAGGAATCCTTGAATTTCCTAAACTAAAGAGGAGAATCTGCTGTTTGGCTAAGAAATCTGTTCAACTTAATACAGATTTTATACCTCCTTTCAAATCCCAGACTGAGCTCTTCTTTTTCGGATTTTCAGAAACCAAGAAGAACTTATTTCCAACAAAACTGTGAATGTAGCACATATCTCTGTCATTAAAGGCAAACAGGATCTTTCTTGTATAAAAAGCATATGAGTCATCAGCCCTAAATCTGATCTGGTCCTAATTCAATTAAATCATTACATTCTTGTCTTTCCACTGATTTTCCTGCCTACAGAAAACCATGCAATGAATGTGTTAAACGGCCATTTTAAAATACTATGCACATCCAAAGAGGGGGAAAAAACACAATTTAATGCTAAGGAGGGGAATAAACTGCTGATCTTTTTTTTTTTTTTTAACAAATGGCTGGGAGGGTTATAATGTATTAGATTTTTTTTCCAGAGGTAATCTTAGATGTGGAGTGAATGAAGTGAAGTCTGTTATCAATCCATAACATCTGCCGCAGTGTCAAGTGATGAAATGGGCGACTCCGGAGCCCAAGACAGCTGGGACGGCTTTCTTAATGCAAGAGGGTATTGTGCAAACAAACAGACACTGATACGGTCTATGGTTGTCACAATTATTCAGGCTGGCGATACATCTTCCCGTATTAGCTGCTTGAGCAGTCCTATTTCTTTTAAAAAGTAAACTACTGTGTAACAATCACCATCCTGGCCTGTGAGTCAGTGGGAACAAACAGAATAAATACTCTGGAAATAAAACTTAAATATAAATTAAAATCTATCACCAGAGCAATAAACTGAAAAACAGATGCAAGATGAAGCAAAAGCAGACAGAACACACAGAGCAAAAGGGAGGGGAGAGAATAAGCAAAAACAAATAAATAAATAGACAGATAAAAATTCAAAACACTACTTAAAAAAAACAACTAAGAATTGGTAATAATTTTCTTTAAGCTTTATCGTGTTAGGGATTCCCATGTATTTTTAAGTTGAGGTTATTAAAAAATTGTTAGTGCAGCTAATTTTAATTAATTCGTGCTCTTGCTGAGGTCTGTGATCAGCATTACAGGGATGATTATTAAAAATGATGAGCCTAAGTTTTAAACATGAGTAAAGATTCTATAAAAGTAAGAAAAATATTCAGTCAATAATTTATTATTTACATAAATCTATATCTAAAGAAGGTACTGAATTCAATTACAAATGGAGGCTTCATTTCATCCAGATAAGCTTCCTGGTGGATATGGAAATGATTCAAATTGGAAATTTTACAGCCTGCACATGAGCTCCGGTTCAAATATTACACAACACGTTCTCAAACACATAACCTAGCTTTTGGATAAATAATCTGGAACCCACTGCAAGAATTATTATACATTCAAGTTCTCTGTGCACTGGGCACTGAGAATAATTGAAAGCAAGGCTGTTTTCATGAGACCTGAAAGCTCATCTAGTCTCGTCTAATAATTGTGCAGATGTGAAAGGTAACGTCAAAGAGTTAAAGATGCTCCTAGCAGGCCATTTACTTTGTGCTGTGTGCTTATTCCATCATGTTAAGCTGCCTCTTTCTCTGTTACTGATGTACCTATGGTGGGATCAAAAGTAAGCCATTTTCAGAGTTTGTTAACAAGATGACTACCTGAAAACTAAACACAAGTGGGAAATTAAATCCAGGTTCCTCAGCTTTGACTGAGACATATTGTTTCTTAAAAATAAGGGTAACAAACCCCACATATCCATTCAGAAATTTTTATTTCAAATTTTACTAAGTGTATACTGATACGAGTTTTATACCAAACATTTTCTAGTACATGTTCATTCATGATTAAGTCAAGTCCAAGTGCCATGAAGGCTCCGAAATGCCTGAACTATTTCTGTAAGGAAAAAGTATCACCTTATTTGTCATTGTATGTTTCTCAACACATCATATAATGCTTGGTAAATGACAGCTATTCGTTGAATGCTGATTTTTTGTTGTTATTGTTGTTGTTGTTATGAAGAAGCCAAAATAAACTCAATTCATCTCAGAAGTTAGATGTAAATATTATGAGAAGACTTCCTCTCTGACCATGGAGCATAGTTGCTCATTCATTCATTCAACAAAGACTTGCTGAGCACCTCCTGTATGGCCCGCTCAACTCAACACGTTAAGGGTAAAACTGTGGAACAGTGAACAAGACAGAAACAGCTCCTGACCTTAGCAAGCTTTCCATCTCTCAGAAAGGACCAACAACAAGCTTGTGATCACGAACATCGCAAAGGAGAAATTCAGGGAACCATATATGTATGTAAAAGGGAATTCAACCCAGTGTGGGTGGAGGCCCCTATGGAATCACAGATGATTTCCCTAAGGACCTGGCCTGTAAGGTGAGGGCCACGGAAAGAATAGGAGTTAGATATGCAAAGGGCTGGGTCACAAGGATGTCATTCTAGATAGAAAGGCATAAGCAAGAAAGAGCATGGTGAGTTTCCAAGCCAAAAAAAAAGCAGGTGTAACTGAGGGACAGAGATGCTGGAAAAGGAGGAGGCAAGGTGCACAAAGACAGCATGGCTACATAAAATCAGTCTTGAAAGACCAACATGGTCATATTGTATAGGGACTTAGAAATAGGAGTAATATTCAAAATAGATAACAATAATTAAAGCACAGGCAACAATCATTACAGCACTGACATCAATCATATAGGAAAGACCCCTATCTTGCCCTCTAACCCTAATCTTGGCCCCCCCAAAAAAAATCAATATAGCAGCAGTTACATATAGGAATGTGGGGTATAGGACAAAAAATTGGGTCTCTAAATAATGGCCTATAGCCAAGCAGTCCGACTGGCCTTGACTTATTAGCTCAAGCCAAGTGTTATATGTGTGAAAAATAAACATTTATATGATTTAAACCACTATATCTGTGGGTGTCTTTGATAGTCCAGGTTAGCTTTACCCTAAGATGGCTACATAGCATGTTCAGAGTAAAGACAGAATTACAGCTTCAAGAGAATTACTTACCTTGTCCATAAATATTCTGGCAGTGAATAGCCAAATACTCATCACCTTTCAGGAAGTGATGTTTTACAAATGGTACCCCAAAGAATCATCACCGAGATGCGTATACAGTTGAGATAAAGGGAGACTTTATACAAAATAAATCCCTATTTGTTTCTGTATTTTGAGCAGTTAAAAAAATTACTTGACCTAAGACAAGCATATACTAAAGCAGAGGTTTTAGAACCCTAGGACTGCTTTGGGACCTCCCAAATGGCCAAGCCCTTTTATGTCTAAAGTGAAAAATATTTCATGTGGCCTACAAGCAGGACTGATTTTTCAGGGAGTATGCACAAGCTGTTTAATATCTGCATTTGTACTGATTGGTCTGAGAAGACTTTTCAGGAATGGCGTCCTCTCTATAAAGCTACCCGACCCCACTAGCGCTCCACACACCCCTCTCCTTGCCCCACTTGTATTTCTTTCCGTAGCATTTTGTTTTTATATCCCACTTTGTAACTTACTCACTTACAGTCCTGCCTGCTTACTGTGTTTCCACACTGGAATAAAAGCTACACCAAGGAGAGGATCTTCATCTGTTTCCACTTGTTGATGTATTCCAAAGAACAACTAGAAAAGGATTTCTTACCCTTTTGTAACTGGAAGGGAGTTCACACTACATGAACGACAAACCTGTACCAACAGTTCATATGCTTATTCATTTTCCAAATAATATTGTAAGATAAGTGTTGTTGTTAAAGTGTCTGTGCATCTGAATACTGTTCCCAGCTTCACCCAGCTTACAGATGCAAGGTCCAGGATTTGAATCTAGGTCAGTCCAAATCCAGAACCAAAACTTGTTCTAAATAGCAACATAATTCACTACTCATTCATTCATTTGCTCTTTTCTTTTTTTTTTAAGAGCTCAGCTTTTTATTGGATGTGTTCCTGCAGAGGTTTAGTCAAAAAGACCAAAGCCCATGTCGTCATCAGACTCCTCGGCCTCTTCTTTCTTCGCGTCCACTTTCTTCTCAGCCGGGGCGGGGCCTCCGGC